TCTTACTTTCTTTAAAAAAAAAAAAAAAAAAAAAAATGTACTTTGCGCTCTCTGTGTCTTAATTTGTTTGTGGGTTTTTCCTGGGGGGCTCTGCCAGCACAGCATGGGACCAGTGTGGGGTGCTGGTGCTGGGGCAGGCAGGGCTGGGATTAGACCTTCCCCCGAGCTCAGCTTTCATTCTCCGCTGTGATTAATTGCAGTTAGCGCTCATCTCTAATTGTGGAGAACAATCAGATGACATGCCTCGCGGTTGATTTAATTGAAACCTGATGAGGTGTCGGAAGGCTGCTGTGCACCGGGGTGAGCTGGGATCCTCCTGGGAACCCCAGCCCCTCTCCCTGTTCTCGGCAGCGCCTTGGAGGGCTCAGGCTCCCACCCTATTTTGCTTGGGCTGAGCTTGTGTGAGAGGTCTGGGTCCCCTCACCCTGGAGTTTTGTGACCAGTCTGGATATTCTGAAGTGCAGTAGTGTTAAGGATTCAGGGTTTTGCACCGCTGTGGTATGGACCACTGGGGAGGTTTGGGGTGTTTGGAATACACGTCTCCTTCCCCGTTGCAGAAATCCTCCGCTCTGCCTATTCATCTGCTTGAGCTGCACTAGAGATTTCTAAGGCAGTTAGGAAGGCTGAGGGAAATTGCTTTCAGGTCAAGACCTACTTTAGCCTGTAGTGAATTACTACGCCTGGGTTTTAAATCTTTGCAAACAGAGGATTATGGTGGTAGTAAATACTAGGTATGCCTGGGGATTGCCGTACTGCCGGCTGAAGGGAGTATGGCCTTTCTCTTTAGCAGATAGAGAGTGATGGATAAATTGAGATATGGCCTGGGTTGTAGCTGTTTCTCCTTGATTTATATTTCTGCTTGGATGCTTCGCAGGGTAAGCAGTATATTTCTTGCTTAACCTCATGGGGCTTTCTCCTTCTTAAATGAGGACGGCATGGTAGATACAACCAGTTGCCAAGAGACCCGGATTAGTGCAGGATCTGCAAAAAATTCAGAGCTGCTGTACAGCCCAGCATCTGCTTGAAACACAAACACCAAGTGACGAACGCATTTGAAATGGCAAAGCTGCATTCCTGTGCTAGAGGATAGCTGCCCTGTGCCTGGCTGCTCTCAGCATCCCCGGGTCTCTAGTCCCAACGGTGGCTTTGGGAGTTGAAAAGAGAGCGATTGCCTCCTGCTCTCAGCAGACCGGGAGTAGCCGGCAGCCTGTCCTGAGCACGGCGGGGCGAGGGGGTGAGGAACCGTGGTGGTGTGAAGGCTGGAGCGTGGGCAGCGCCGCAGAAACACCATCCTGATGGGAAGCCCTGCCCGTAGCCACGGAGGGTGCAGGCAGCAGAAGGTGAGGGCAGGCTGGGCTCATCCTCCTGCCTGCAAGTACTGGGCAGGAGGAAGGATGAGGGCCTCGTTTGCTAATTGCTGTGAAAGCCGTGGTGACACGCACGTCTAGCCCGCAGAAAGCTGTAACGGCACCTGTGCCTGATGGGTGGGGGCTGAAACAGGTTGATACAGTCTTTTTAATCCAATTAGTGCCGAGTGCTGAGCAACCCGGCCAATTTGCTCTTGACTTTTATAACACATATAAATAGCGTTGGCGTTACATAACGCCACGGGGGATGGCTCGACTCCGCTCGCAGTCCCCGAGAAGGGCTGATCTTGGCTGGCCAGATGACCACGGCTTTGCCCGGGGCTGGGGGAACCCATGGGACGGTCCGATCTCTCGTAGTGTTTGCTGCGTTCCACTTGGCCTGCTGCAATCCGTACGACATCCCCAGATCCACCCGGGACAAGCAGTCTTGACGAGGTGCGTCTCCTGCACCCTTTCCCAAGCAGCATCTCCATCAGTCGGTCTCGTGTACTGCACGACTACGACAAATGCAGGCAGGGGCCTGACCCTGTTAATGAGCTCAGGCCTGGACTTGATAATGATGTCCTCCAGCCTCTCCTCGCTCTCGACTTTCGCACTGCGAGTGGAAGATGCTTCCATATCTGCACAACCCTCCTTGTCTCTGACAGAGTACCACCAGCCATGATAAAGTTTTCCAGGCTGCTGCAGACCGCCAGCGGTTTTGTGCAGGCAGGGGGCTGTAATCTCTGCCCTTGGGGAAGCCCGTGTCAGGCCGCTGGCAGCTAATGAGCTTGTGCAGGTGTTACTGAGGGTGTCACGTGGCTGACTGCATTATTGATGTTGTCCATGATGGGAATTGCTCTGATGCTTCGAGCCAGGGATGCTGTGGGGGTTGGAGGTGGGAAATGCTTGTGGAGTTGGTAGCTTTTCCCAGAAGTACATAAAGTGAGCGTGGGGTTTTGTGTGGCTGCTCCTGCAGAAGCACTTCTAGAAAGGGGGAGGCTGGGTTGGAACTACCTCTTGCTTTTGTCAGTCATGGAAAACTGGTCTTCTGGAAGGAAGGAGGGAGTGGATGGAAGCAGGAGGTCACCAGAAATGGTTTCCAAAGTAAATCATGCCTAAAATGTGCAGTGGTAAATGCTGTTGTGATGGTTGAAGGTTGGCGGCTTTATGTAGAGGTTGCAGCTGGATTGTGTTTGCCCTGAATTGGCCAAGTCTTGCTCACGGGACTGATTGCACCAAATCCTCGTTGGGTGTAATTCGTTGTGTCACTGTTGGTAATCACTGGTTATGATTTTGTCTTGTATAGCTGATTTTTCCTCTTTGTGCTTTCAGAAATAACACAGATCATCCAGGTGGACTTGGACCTGAAGTACAAGACCAACATCCGAGACCTGTTTGATGAGTTTGACAACTTCCCGGAGGGAGCAGTCATTGGGATTGCCAGGGAAATGCAGCCAGTGTACAGGTATAGCCCCCTTCTCTTGGGGAGCAGGGGGTGGGCAGCGGCAGCTGGCATGTCTTCTCTAATTCAGGTCGGTCTTTGGAAGAAAATCTAAGGGGAAGCAGCTCCCTGCTTTAATCCCTGCAGGGGGACTTAATCTGAAACTTGTAGGTCAGTATGAACAAAGTGTACAGTGTCGCTGTGGTTTCCTTGTTCTCATGCACCGTCACAAGGCTTCCAGAACCAAGTTTCTGGTCATCAGTGCCAAAATCCATACCTAGATTATAGCATATCTGCTAGAGGTGTGTTTGCCCAACCATCCCTGCTGAGGTGCTCTGACTGCATTCTGGAGCATCAGTTTGTACATCGGGGCTCAGAGGTTTTGGCTGTGAATATTGCCACTCTGCCCAAGCAGGAGCAACATTTTCCTAGCCCAGGTGGACCTGGGACCAGTGTGTTTCAGCTGTGCTCATGCATCATGTTAGTCTGATGAAGAGGAAAGTACGGTCAGCACCGCCTGAGGACTCGCTCTGAGCAGTGCGGTTGCCTTGCATCCTGCTGTCTAGCTTTCCTCTTTGCTCTCCACCCGTATTTTCCACAAAATACCTGACCCAGCATTTGGGGAATCCCCCTGGCATGAGGTTTAAGCGGATCAGTCTGCCTTCTCCAGCCAGTAGCTAGCTTGCAGCGAATGTGAACCCCATCCTCTCCTGATGTGAGAAATCTTTTGGGAAATGCCTAAAATGACCAACACAATGGAGAGATGTGTCTTCCATTGCCTGTTGGTTGGTGGCATTTGGTGGTTTGCTTCATTTCCCTGTAGGCAGAGAGTAGGGGTTGAGTTTGGGCAACAGTGAGGTTCTGCGTCCCTGGAGTGTCAGTGCACCTTCTGTTGAAGAAATACTCCCCCAGGAAAGACCGAGTGGGCAACTCTGGTGACCTGAGCTTGCAAGCATGCGGATAGCCCCGTGGTCACTTGCTCTTCAGACCCTTGGTCTGCCATCTGGTGCTGACTGTGGTGGCAGCTAGCGGTGGGAGCCGTGCACCAAGGGGTGGCCCCACTCTTCCCACTCTCAGGCCACTGGTGGACTTCAGGGACACAGATATTTCCAGGCTGGTGCTTAAGGAAATTGGTTTAGTTTAGCCTGCATTGTTCCAAGGATGAACCTCAGGTTTTGTTTTAGTCCAGGGTGAATCAGATCATCAACTCAGGATGCCCTAGTGGCTTCTCAGCTGAGCAGAGTTTGAGTGTTTGAGATGGCTTGGCTAGATTTGCTAATCCTACTGGAAATGTTCTTGGAGAAAGATAAAAAAAGCTTAAGAGCTCTGTATGTCTTTTCCTTCCCTACTGGAAGCCTTAGTAGTGAGATCAATAACTGAACCTCGTAAGACATGTCCAGCAGCATTCTTGGGCAAAGGCTGAGCTGCAAAGATCTGGTGCAGCCGTTCCTGCCGCATGTGCATCCAGTTGGGATGAGGGTGGACGCAGAGAAAAGTTCACCAGCAGGGGATTAATGGTCATTAATCACCACTGATCATTTCCTAGAAGCCCAAGCCAGCTGAGAGCATGCTCATGCGAGCATTTCTGGTTGCTCAAACTGTGGAAGTCACCACTGTTCCCAGGCTGGAAGAAGGCATCTCTGTGCCCATGGCAGAAATGTCACCTCCCCTCCTGGCTGGCTTGTGCTCTTGTCAGGGAGAGCTGGGACCAGAGGAAGGTGGATGCTGAGGTCTCCTCTCCATAGGGCGGCACCATGCTCAGAGCGTGGAGGGCTCCTGTATCTGCTTTGGGTGTCCTGGCAGGATTTTGGTGCCCAGAGTGGTAAATCCAGCCCCAGTTAATCATATCCAGTTGTTAGAGCTTGAAGCGGGATGGAGGGAGCAGTGACAGCCGAGTGCGGCTGCGGGGCTGTGTTGGACTGTCAGCCTCAGTCAGCGTTGCCCAGCAGGGCAGATCACTTTCTCGGTGAAGTAAGGAGGGGGGCCAGCAAAACCGCAACCATGGACTTCCGTAGGGCGGACTTTGGCCTGTTCAGGACGCTGGTTGAGAGAGTCCCTTGGGAGACGGTCCTGAAGGGCAAAGGGGTCCAGGAAGGCTGGACGATCTTCAAGAAGGAAGTCT